GTTATTGCATGTGTAACAATGAGAGAAGACAGAATGCAGAAAAATCAAATCTCAACGGTGAAACACCTGCATTCAGAAAGTCTCTGGCGAGTTTAGAGGAGAGAAGAGAGTTTATTACCAATTGAAATGTCAAGGTCTGTGGAGTGTAAGCATGAAGTGGTTGGACCCTCCTCTGAAGGCAGACAGGGAGTGAGTGCTGCGATGGCCGAGCTCCAGACACCAATCTCCTACCCGTAAGGTCAAACTGACTCTGCGCGGATGGGCCCAGTGTTTTCCACCCAGAACTAGAGCAGATAGAGCAGACTGAGGAGAAACTTCTACAGCTGCTCTGAGGTTCTGGCAGGTTCTAAACATCTGAACCTTCAGTGATGACAAGCAACCGTCACGGAAGCGTTGCTAACACTTCTGTTGTTAAAAAATGTTAAAGGTTAGTTCAAATTTTTAGAGCCAATCTGCAATGAATCCAGTAACTCCTGGGATCTTGATTTAGATGAAGCAGGCGAGTTTTAGATCTAAGAGTTTTATCTAATGTTTTATCAAAGCAGGTCTCTCTTGTAAATGAGATCTTATATCTCAATAATTCAGCCTGGATTTTCATATATTTGCTACAACTGTCACTGTGCCATAAATTGTGAAATTTTTTTTGGCTCCTTCACCTCCCAGTGCTTCTATTTTCAGTGAACAACAATCAATCAGAGCCAGGAGAGGAGGATCTTAGTGCTGCCAATCAACCTGTGTATGTGCTATCCAATGTGCTAAGGACAGAGATAAATGGTTTTTCTGTAATAGTGAGTTGTTTTGCCGCCATATTTAGCAGCACATACATGACACTGATTGAAACGCTCCTCCTGCCTCTGATTGGTTATTTTTGGTTGGGGGCGGTGCATTTCTTCACACAGCATTAATAGTTCAGGGAGGAGGATGAGATTGATTTTATATCTCTTATAGACCGTTGCAGTTTTCCTTTAACTAGAACTACAATGAAAATCATAAAACAGTGATAGTTTCAACAAAATATGTAAAAATGTTTAGCCACTAGTGGAGACGTCAGAGTCTTAGTCAGGCTTTGGGATGACAGAAGCTACATTTGTGGCATTTTGGGAAGTTGTAGCTATCTATGGATCCAACAGGTTCAAATTAAGGACAGCTTCTGATGAAGGACATGATGCTGTGAGAGCTCTGGCAGAGGCCAGTGCCTACAAATAAACTGTTTCCTATGGAAAAAAGCCTTTCCATCGCTATTGGAAGAAATCCACTAATTTTGATGCTGCTGAAAAATCGCCTCATCTTAAATAAAAACTCTTTATCAGAAACTGTGTTTTTTGTTTCCTTCAAATTCAGGTGTTTCTGCTGAAAAACACCATTACAGTACCTTTGGGACTTACATGCACCTTTGGGGAACAGTTTCTGACTTCAGGACTCTCACAGTTGGTTGTGGCTTCATGTTTCACCTGGAGGACTGAAGGAGAACCGTTGGAGGACAAGTGAGTCTGATGAAGGAATGAACGTGTGAGGAGTTGAAGCGAGAGGTCCGGATGCGGCTCATCTTGGTTTCTACAGCAGGGAAATATTCAGCTGAAGAAAAAGGAGCTTTGATTACTGCGAAGCAGGAAGTGGATCCAATATCTCAGAAGGAAACTAGATCTAAAGAGCTGATCCGGTATCACAGATGCCACATGGTTTACTAGAAGGCATGGAACAGGTTTGGACCGGCTGGAGGTTTAACTCTACCACTGTAGAAGCATGCTCTTCCATCCACTGCAGCCCAATCAGGAGGTTCTAGTCAGCTGTGAATGCTGCGGCTTGCCCGGCCACGCCCACAAATAGAGATCTGCAGCTGAGAGGAGGTGAGCAAAGTCTCACACATCAGGACTAAGAAAGAAAAACAAGAACATCACAGCAGCTTCCATTTCAAACCTCTTGTCAATAAAAGATTTTGGCACAAGGATGAAGTGTTTTTTTTGTTTGTTTTTTTTTTGGCCGAGTTGAAATTGATTGATCTCGCACTGTTCACGTCCCACGAGTCACATGATCAACAACCTGATGTTGCCACTGGCATAAACTACGAAGAAGAAGACAACAGGAAGCAGTAGGAGGACGATGGTGCGGCTTGTTTTTTAATGGTAAACGAACTGAAGTTATATAGCGCTTTTTCAGACATTTTGACCACTCAAAGTGCTTTACACTAGAGTCACATTCACCCATTCGCACTAACAAATGCACACACATTCATACACCGATAGGCATCTTGGGGTTAAGTGCCTTGCCCAGAGACACATCGACATGTGGCAGGAGGGTGCTGAAATCGAACCTACAACCTTCTGATTGCAAGACGACTACTCTGCCACCGTCGTCCCTTATCATGGGACTTATCACGTGAACAAACCTTTTCATGTGTGACTTTTACTGTTTCCTATTTAATGGAAACACTGCATTTACAAAATTCTATTTTTTCAACATTAGTGGAATATTGACAAAGTTTTGCATACATGTGTAAAGGAAACTCAGCTGGTGAAAGACGGCGGTGGCAGTGTGATGCTCTGGGGTTTCTCAGCGTCTGTCTGGTAATTCCTTTGTGTTTTGGGTCAGCTTGTGTTCACTGGGCTCCTCACCTCTGCGTTTGCTTCAGATCCGGAATAAAATTAAAAGCAGAAATCTGATAAATATTATTATACATATTATGGGAATGGAGGATTTAGTTCAGTTTATTTGCATAGCACTAATTCACATATTGTTTACAATCAGCTCAAATCAGCCATTCAGACAGATTCTGAGTCAATTAATAAATACATTCTTAATCAATCCTAATTTTTAAACAATGCAATCAAGTTCAGTTTATTATTGATAACATTATGAAGTTCCAGAAGCTTCCTGTTCTAGTTTTTCTTTTTTTCTTTTTTTTTCTGGAATGTGTTGCAGATCTTAAAAGCAGAATCGGGCAGACAAGATGAAACATGAAACATTTCTAGATTATATTACCCGCAATAAAAGTCGAAATAAATGCCACAGTGTTATTATTTTTTTTTTTTTCAAATTCCAATTTTCATACCTGTTGATTTTGGGCTGTAAAATAAAACTGAAGCTTTCAAAAACGGTCTTACTCATGATCAAACCCATTAAACCCATGAAATCTCACGCTGCAATTCATTAACAACACACAGATTTATCAACTGTAAAAACCGAACGAGTTAGCGCCCACCAGAAACATTCCTCCTCGCAGCATCTGCACATCCACACAGCCACCTTGTGCAGTTGGCCCCAAGTCCATCGGTGTGCAGGCTGCTTGTGTTGCTGCCGCAGCAACACAAGTAGGACACAGGATCTATTTTATAAGCACATTCTGCTGAGCTCTCTACATGTCAGTCATAAATTTTTAGGGGCTGGCAGGAACACCGGAGGCTCATCCGTCGATGCAAAGCTACACCAGAAGTCGCGGGGGCATTGCCAGGTTTTAGCTTGCCTGTACTGGTTGCTCTCTTCCCTCCAGCAGGCTGTAATGAGTCCTGAACAAATCCAGATATTTGGTGCATGATCAATGGGTCAGGGGTCACTGAATGAACCTCGTGTCAGACTCCTCTCCCTTGGGGGAAGCAGAGACACACCAAAAGGTCCCAGGACATCGGCCCCAGAGGCCTTAGCACCATCTTGGACTGAGATAATGTGAAAATGAAAACATGGATCCTTTCTGCCTCGTGTTAACAGCTCAGCTGGTGTTCAGCACCTTTTTGGGACCTTAATTAGATCTTCATTTGGGCCCTCCTTTACCAACATGTCAAGACCAGATGCTTCATCATTTCTGAGCAAATCTATGTGTGTAACATACTATCATTAGCATGGTTTGTGACTGGCTTACATCATACCAGTGTTATTGTTTTGATTTTAAAAGGAAAATGCAGAATGGCATTGAAGAGTGTCATATTATTCTTACTATTTGAAAGTAACACCAGCTCATGTACAAGTTCTTAGTTTGTATATCAAATATATTTTTAACCATGTCAGTAAGTTTTGCACATTTTGGGCCCCCTATTGGTGAAAATCCTTAAGCACTTTAACTTGCACTGCCTCTGGCCGGCTCTGTTTGTGGTGAGATAATGGTTGTGATTGGTGGCTATGTGGGGCTCCTTTGTGTCACTTGGTGTTTGTGTTCTGTCCACAGCCTACCTGAGAACTGTTGCTGACCAGGTCCGGCACTTTAAGGCCTCCCATCGTCTGATGGAAACTTAAAGAATGTGTGTCAAAAAGAACAAAGGAGGTTCTGAACTGGTCCAAAGATGTTTTGTGAAAGACAGCTAAGGAAAAAAAAATCTCTCCTTTTCCCCTTTATCTCAGAGCCCAGGCAGAGAACAGTTGTTATAGGGCGCCATCATGTGGTTATAAATCAAAACATATTTCTGGTGTTTGTTGAATGTGAAAGCACTTTTCAGCATAAGTGGTCTATACATTTTATAGAGTCACTTTTAAAGGACAATGCACCATAAAAAATACATCAAGAACACCTCAGCTTAAATGTTTGAGTTCAATGATCAAACACTGTGATCATTAAAGGACAACATCAAGTTTGCATGACATGTAAAGTGAGTTTGAACGTCCTTCCGGTTGCATCGCCCATGCTGCAACACAAGGGAAAAAATAAAAAGTGTGCAGCTGTTCCTTTTAGCTTGAAAAACATTTCACAATAATTGGCTTGAAACGTTACTTCAACTCCACAAAACAAATTGCATCAAAATTTGTGAGTAAAAAATGAGTTAGAATAACTCAACTGATTAATTTGTCAGCTTAATATTACCTGAGATTCTAAATTAATATTAGGTTGCTTTTACATAATTATACTTTGGGAGGTTGACGTAAATCACGTTGGTTTCCTAAACCAGTTGAGTTAACTGGACCTAAAATTGACATGCTGGGTTTACTTGACAACAGAAAATGCTGGTAACTTAAAATGCTGAGTGGAAATTGTTGCCACAGTTTTTCTAAAAGAATCTTTAAAGAAAAAAAACAAGTCAGACAAAAGAGGTTTTTAATTATAGAGGATATAAAATAAATATACATGACTTTTTTCTCATTAACAGTCATTTGTACAGTGACATTTGGACAAGTTTGCTAAAAGCAGCTAAATAAACATCTGATTTTCCTGCGCAGGGCTATTGCTGCCTCATCTATAAACGCTATGAAAAAAGACAACACATTTAGGCCATATGTAGATTCCAAAGTCATGTGCAGGCCAACTCTCTCTCTCTCACACACACACACACCCACGCACTCATACCAAATACAGATAAGAGAGTGGAAAGATGCTCCAACAAGCAAAGCTCTGTGTTTCCTGCTGCAGCTCAGGGAGAGCAGTCTGGGACAACCAGCGAGGGGGGCGTTGCCACGGGAGCAACACCACTAATGACAATTAACCCTCTCATGGTCTTAGCACGGCGCTCAGAAGGAGCGCAGCAGATGTCACAGTCAGACAGTGGGAAAGTGAGGGTTTGTTCTGTCAGACTGTCAGTTCCCGAAACCACACACACACACACAAAACACGTAGAAGCGCATGCAGGGTCAGTGCGACCCCGTCGAACAGATCCCGTCTTTTAACAGAGCGGTGGGACTAAAAAAACCCGATGGACGCTTGGCACGGCAGGATCAGCAGGAACTGAGCTGTGCGGGTGGAGCATCTGTCCGTCTGTACAAACTGTGGGACAATAAGTGCTAACGTTCTCCACTGGAAAAAGGCAGGCACATGCAACACTATTCAAAACATCGAGAAGAGAAGGAGAGTGGCCTACGGTGCAGCAGAGTTTAATAGTGTGCACTGCCAGGAACTTTAGTGTGTCCAAAGCGAGACAATAAAGAACAGTAAATACTTTCTTTCAACTTATCACTATGTAAGGTATCTTAGCAACAACAGTGCATTAGAAGACAATTATCTTATTAGTATCTCAATGAGGAAGCCTTAAAATGTGGTTTATGTACAGCATCTCAAAACAGACTTGGAACTAGCAATGTGTGATGATAACAATCTGTCAGCAGAGGAGCCGCACGCTCGCCCTCAGTCGGGATTCTCTGCAGTCCTCTGAGATGAGACGCGTCAAAGTCATGCTAAATGTGGATGCTTAGCTGCTAGGAGTTAACCAAGGCCAGAGAACACAAACTGAAATGGCATGTTTGGACGATAAAAAGAAAAGGCACCATCCACACAAAACTAAAGGCAGATCATCATCATTCGGTGCTGTGAAGACAGCTCTGCGACTACAGCTGCATTGTCATTGACCTTCAGATTGCGCAAATTGGAATTATGAAAATAGATCCACTTAATGGAAACATAAAAAATTTAAAAAAAGGAAACGCTCAAGTTTGTTGATAAAAGGTTTTTGGGCAGAAACTGCTATTATGAAATTGGGGGAGGGTTTTTGGTGTTGTTTAGTTTACTCATATGCACACATTTGTAATGGAAACGCAGTTTATGTTGGGCTCACAGCAGAACAACTGGATCTCACTGGGAGACCATTCACCGGCAGTTCATCAAAAAGAGCCAGAAACTGTTACATCTAAACAACTTAGAATGTTGTGCAAAGTGGAATATTTCTTGTCAGTCATCTTATGATTTTTGGTTTTTTACCTGTTAGCAATAGCCATTAAAACTGCAAAAAATATATAGCTTGAAGTATTTTGCTCTATGCCTAATGAGTCTCTATAAAATGACTGGTTCACTTTCTGAGATAACTCAAGAAATATTGCACTGTTATTTTTAAATGGGGGGTAACTACAGGTGACAGTGCCTGTAAAAAATATTCATACTCAATTTAGATTTTTTTTTTCCAGTTTGTTGTGCTACTGCCACAAACTTCAGTGGATTTTATTAGGACAGAATAGTACAAGGTCATTTTAAATTGTGGAATTGAAAGAAAATGATAAAAGGTCTTCAAAACATCCCTTGATCCTTTGTCAACACCTGTGTGTCTGATGGTTAAATCATTTTGTCTTAGGGCAAAACTACAGTACTAATAGCTTTTAGTTACAATGTCAGGTTTAAAATCAATAGATCAGAATCTGATCGATCTACAACAACCTAAAACTCAAGAGTGTGTTGGTGCCTACCTCCATCATGAACTACTAATTTATCTGGTTTAATTCATGAAATTCCCAAAAGACAACTTGAAGTTTGTGTGCACATAACATTTTTCAAAAGTTGAAATGTATGAATGAGTATGAATGTTTTTGCAAAAACTGTATCATGGTCCAATATCAATGTTCAGTAGATGTTTGATGAAAATCTGGGTCCACAGGAACCTTACAGTTTCTGGCAGGTATTACCCAGCTAGGCGCTATGCCTGCATCCCAACTGGGTCAGACGAGAAGGCGTTCTTAAAACAACCCAAATGGACTCTATACAGAGCCCAGATCAAACTGCCTGACCAACACCCACATGAGGCCCACATTATGGGTGCATTGATAAAATTGGCTGGCCAATAAATCAGCCACAATTTTCTTAACTTTGGGACATCAGTGATTGGCTGCTGTGAAGCCCATCATTTCCACCGATCTTATCAACCTCAGCAAAGGACTGAAAATCAGCCATGAGAACTTTGATGGATGGATCCGCCCACCACCTCATATCTACATGTGTGCAGGTCATCATAGTCATCCCACTGTTGCCAACTTGGCAACATTTCAGACTAAAATATGGCCCAATTAGAATCAGCAGGTCAGGCTTTTTAAGGATCGGTGATCGGCCAGAAATCTGCACTCGGTGCACCCACAGCCCACATCCACATGTTGGTGGAGGAAGAGCAGGCTACTGCTTAAAAACACATCCGGTTCATTTCTACAGCTGTCATTGTTAAGGCAGAGGAAAGTCCGCTAGATGTAGATGCGTGGAAATAATAAATATGATAGTATAATATTGATATATATGTATTTCTTTTTACAATAGAACATTTAACATACATTTTAAAAGGAAGTGAACAAAAGTAGGAGCACTGTGTGTGCTGGAGTCATCATCGCAGAAGCGAAGCACGGGTGAAAACTTCAGTCTGGGGTTTGTTTGCATAGGAGTAGTTTGACGATGACCTGCCACTCACTCGTGCCTGGAGCTCAGTTAATACTTGTGAGACCTCGCTTCTTGTGGAGAGAGACATGTACAACAAAGTGTCTTCAGGTGTTTTTGCTGCCGCTCCCTTCTCATATGCATGCTGAAGGGAGGAGGAAAACCTTCAAATATAGCTGCTGGTTTTGATCCACGGCGTCGCGTACGACCTAACCCTGCCTCCCTTCCCCCCCTCCCCGTTCGGCCTCTGTCTGCCAAAATGCCAGAACACACACAAAAACACATCATACAAAATCACTCAACTACACAGACTTCACACAGAAAAACTCAACTTCCAGTTTCTGCTTGAATGCTAAGAAATCTCAGCCAAAACAACTAAAAGTACAAAAATAAAGGTCAGGAAGACAACTTGACAGATGCCATATGGCAATCTGTATATTAAGATTATGTGTGAAATGGAATTTAGGATCTAACTGGTGGGTCAAAATTCTGTTAAAACTGTTTTATTCACCTAAAAGTTTGTCCTGTTTTTGCTTCAGTTGTTTACCCTCATTGTCCTCCACAAATCAAGTCCTGCAAATTAAAAGCAGAGGGTTTAGTTCTACTTTCAGCCACCAGGTGTCAGTGTTTTTCTTATGCTAATCACAGGCAAACAAAATAAAATCTTTTGTGGGTTAAAGCCTGTGTGAAAGCAAACAGACACACCTAAGGGACCCACTGGGTGCGTTCTTTAATACAGCCTAGATCACAGCTGATCACATGACCGGCCGGGACCAATAAGGATCAAGGAAATGCTCTATTCTTTCATCGTTCATAATGTTCAGTCAATAAACGACAAATACAGAAGTTTCTACACCAAGGATGATTTCATATCTAACTGATTCCTAAATGTGCTTAGCTAATTTAATGTAGTGAGCACATTATGGCCTGAGAACAAAAGCGAAAACATTAGAAACATACGGAAATGCATCATGAAGATCACAACAAAGAGGAAAATGTCTTGATGTCTGCAGGGAATCTAAGGAAAATGGACCTGAGTGGAGTTAAAAACTTAACCTTATCCAAACCAAATCAAACCGGAGACAAACGCCTCTGCAGCAGAAATGTGTGTTTGTGCCTTTATCGTTTTAAAGATGTTAATGAAAGTTGCCAGAGACAAAACTGGTCAACTCTGGTAAGTTTTTGCTGCTTTTGTTATGAAGACATTGTTTTTAAAATTTAAAGGTGGTGCGGTGGTACAGGGGTGGAGCACCACCCACAAAATTAGAATGGCACAAAAAACTTTTACAGCAGCATAAACCATTACAAATGTAGCGCAAGTCATTGAACAATTTTGTTCTCATTTGGTTACTGAGGTAGGATTGGTTGACCTTTCAACAATGTAAATCCTTCGTATCCTCAAAAAACCCCAAAACAAACAAACAATCAAACAAAAATTTCTGCTGCATAAACATTTGACACCAAATTCATTTGATTTGAAGAAAGTGCAGGGGGTCAACTTCAGCCAGGTTTGCAATGGTCCAGTCAAAGCCCAGACCTCAAGCAGATAGGAAGGCAGCTGTGTGACTTTAGGAGAGCTGTTTGGATACAAATTCTTACTTCTTACTTCCATGGAACAAAAATGTGTAGCAAAATTCCTCTTAAAAAAACTTCTGAACTGAAGAATAATCTTCCTGCTTCTTCCCAACTGCACAAATAATTGGTCCAAGAAAAACTGTTTCAGTCTGGAAGATTCAGGGAAAAAGAAGAGAGTCTCAAAACTGGACTCAAGATAATTATGAAATGCAAAATATCTGCAGGGCTGATCTAAAGTTTACATAAACTTCTAATGATGTCATATTAATTTAGGACTGTTCTGTTTGGGGTTGTTTAGTGTTATGAAGATTTGTTAACCTTCGCTCTCTGGTTGGTGAGAGCGAAAGCGATGCAGAAGATTTGCCTCTGAACGGAAAAGCTGAAAGCGAAGGAGTGCTGATCTAAACGTGTTCTATTAATGTTAAAAACAGGAATTTGATGCATAACTTTTAAATATTCCACACAGCATCAAAATTATACATGCTGGCTCAAACGTATACATTTACCCAAACTGATATTTGGCTTAATGTCTCCCAGAGAAACCACAAGAAAAGCTGAAAGAAATATGTTAGCTTAGTTTTAGGGCTGATCGATTAATTGTTAACCGGAGTATAGAGACTCAAAAAAATAAAAAATAGACAAAATTTACTTTGCAAATATATCCTACCCAGAACTCCTCTAGTGACACAGTTTTACCTTCACCTCTTATTAAGATATAGTTCCATTCTTTGCCCCCCAGACATGACTTGACTGTCAGTCAGCTTTTGATTGGTTCACTGGCTGTGGGGGCGGGGACAGACATGGGTCGTCTCCCAGATCGTTCAGGCAGAGGAGCGTTTACTTTCTCAATCTCCATTATTTTGACTGGCACCGTCAAAAATATCCTGTCATCATCTGTTTTTCCCTGTCAATTTTTAGACAAATTCAGCTGCATTAAATATTCAACAAGCTGAACAGATCACACAGCAAGCAGATGCAACTTTTTCTCTGCAGTGACAACAAAACCACCAACTGTGGCACCAATAAATACAAATAAACATTGAAATTAAACGATCGCAACTGAATTATATTAACTTGCTTGTGCTTTGAGGTTGATCTGACTGGACAATGGAATTACAGACGCCACTTCACGCATCGTTTTGAAATCCAGGAACATTTCCAGAAGTTTGTGGTTTGGTTTGATGGTGTAGGCTGCGGTCAATGAAGGAGGGCTACCAAGTAATTCATCAGTTTGTTTCTACTCATCTGCTAGAGTGCATTCAGTGGAATACGCTCATCTGCTGTGTATTCCACAGAAATGTGGAATACACCAGTTCAGTGTAAAAAAGACTCACTTTTGTATCACTTTTCCAAAAGATACAGAAGGCAAATGTTGGGTTTCCTGACAATTCTAATGTTAAATGTGGTAAATGTTTGGATGATGCTCATAGTTCAGCTCTGTCCTTTCAATAAGCTGGACCGATTCTGGTACAGTGAGTTATGAAAAAAAAGCTGCTGCTGGTAAAACAAATCATGTGGTTTCCATGCAACTTGCTAAAAACACATACTTAATCTAAATACCAGTGGGGGTGCATGCACATATGCACTGCATAATTTTGGCTCTGTAAAAAGCCAGAATGAATCCAAAATTTATTGAAGCTAAAAACTAATATGGCATTCATAGTGTTAACAAACTTAAAAGATTGAACATATTCGTGGTAGTAAAGAACGCACCCTTTATCTCTAAATGTGGCCAAATGAGGCTATTGACAAACAACTGTTTTTCATATTTTGGCAAATTTGTCCCAGAAAAAAAAAAGGGCAAAATTTCAGGTGACAAAAACTCACCCAGCTTTTGTTCCAGCTCCTTGCAGACGGGTTCAGCGCTCAGTGCAATTCTGGTAGGTTTGAAACAACATGCAAATAGAAATTCATACATGCACACACACTCTCACACACAGTTGGTAATAATAATTAAACCTTAAAAAAATAATAATAATAAAAAAGAATAATCTGACATTTGGCAGTAACAGTCTCAAAAATCATATTTCGGGGGGAAGGCAGGGTAATTTTAGCTGCCCTGTACGTAATGCGCACGAAACATCTGTGTTTAAAATACTAGTTAAAAAAAAGACCTTCAAAGTTCTGATGGTCCGAGATAAAATGGGCATCAGAGCAAAGTTTGCACTGGCACAAACAGGAAGAGTCGGACCTCCTGACTCTCGTCATCGTCGGCAGAAAGCGGAACCCGCAGAAGGCGGCGCTCCATAAAGACGACTGCTTCTCTCGCTTTCCCAATCCAGGTTGAGATGAATTGGATCTAAATATACAAAGTCTATATTACAAAGCTTCCAATAAACTGCGCTTTAATATTTCCCTGCACTGACATCAGCTCAGCAGCTGACGTTTTCCCCGCTGCTGCCTAGGAACAGGAGTCTCTGGGTCTTGGTTGCATTTAGGCGGACAGGGTTTAACTCCAACGCTCCTTTTCTTCTGATTGGACGACGGAGACGAGGATGAAGGTCTGTTCCTCCACCGTTTCATTGCATCCCGTTGCTCCCATGTGTAACAATATTTTGAGTGACATCAACTATCAAGGTAAACTCAGAAAGTCTAGCAAACGAGCAAGAGAACAAAAAAAAAAGAATCAAATAGAAAAAGGTGCTATATAATATACATATATGAACACAGCTGCAAGTCGTCGTGCTGAGGAACGTTGCATTTATAAGTGCCATGATTCTCAGTTTGCATGATGCCTTCACATCCCTTTTGCATTTAGTTTCCTTTAGTTTCACCCCACAAGGCAGAACCTGTCTTTGTTTTTGGTTCCTATTTGTGTTTGCCTTCATCTTTCTGACGATAAGATGACAGATGAGAGCAGCTTCGAATGGAGGAAGGCCAAATTGGAATGACGTCACCTAAGATTAGGGGTCCAACCAAGGCGAGGAAGGCTGCTGGGTGTCGGTTAAAGATGAGGAGTTGCATCCTCTGCTGGTTCCAGAAGCAGGGGGTGAAAGGTCAGGTGGGGCAGGGGATCTGGAGAAGATTCTACGGCTCCTAGTAGCGGTGTGTCTGATGGGAGTACTGGGAGCTCTGCTGGGATGATGACGAGTAACCCATGGTACTTTGAGACTGAGTGGACCCTTGGACGTTGCTTTGGTAACCAAGCCGAGAGCTGGAGTGCTGTGATGGGGAAGAGGAAAATGGTGTCAGAACAACTGTAAATACATTCCACTCTGATTTCAAAGCTGCCAGCTCCAAAAACAAAGTGACAGAGGAATAAAAGAAACCAACTGACTGGTTTAACTCATACTGTCTGATATTCTGCAGTTTGTCCGAAAAACAATAATTGGTTTTCTAAATTATAAATCCAACTCTTGTTGTTTGGTTATTTATGGATATTTAAAAAAAAAATAATAATAAATAAATATAATATATATATATATATATATATATATATATATATATATATATATATATATATATATATATATATATATATATATATATATATATATATATAATATATATATATATATATATATATGCATCTTCCTAAAGCTGCAGTTATTCATGACATTCCACAGGCCTGTGTGCCCCAACCAATACTTTAAACTTTATTTTCATTTTTTTATGTATTTTCCAGGCAGATAGTCCCACATTATGGCACAATCAAGTAACTTTGTTACCTTCAGTTCTTCTAAAAATGCTATACATATCAAAGAAATTTCACTTATCTTGCACCTTGAAAATGGCGTCTGTCTCTTTAAGAAGCTCCTACCTTTTCTGACCTTCCCCCTTCAACATGTCATCACAACGATGCTCCTCCAGTCGTTCAGTGATGCTGTTTGCAATGGTTGTTATAAACTCTGCAGAAGTGCAGATTTTGAATATCGGACTGGACTTTGACTGGGCCATTCAGTATAATGTATATTTTAAAAAAAGTCATCCTACTCATCCCTTGGATAGTGAGTACAATGTTTCCCATTTCTGGTAACAGCACACTATGGCATACTGTAATCTTGTACAGTATGTCATTATTATTATCAATTTATTTTATTAATATGTAATAATACAGCTCTGGAAAAAGTGAAGAGCCCACTGTACTGAGCCCCACTGAAAACCTGCTGATTTTTCCACCAAATATTGATGTCTAAACTCTTCCTGAGTTCAAACATTAGTATTGTTGTTTCTAAATGAATATCAACTTGTTTTATTTTGAGCATTTCTCATTTTCTGTGAATAAATAAAACAAAACAAAAAAACATTTGCTTGGAATTTGGAGAGGTGTTCAAAGAATAAAAGAACAAATTCATGTTACTCAAATAAATACCTATGAAAATTAAAATCAGACAAAGTGATCATTTTAAGAGATGTCTTAATTTTTTCTAAAGCTGTATATATTTCTAACACTTTTGATTATTAAATCTTGATGCAGCTGTAACACCTGACTTTCCCCACTGTCTGGTAGTAATGGCTGTTTCTATTCTATTCCATTAGATGAATGTCCTGTACTTTGACTGTACACATTGTGCTGTTCACTATAACATTATGTTTCTGCATCAGGTTGGATGTAGCTAAGCTCCACAAAGACATTTTACTGATGCATCAACATCAGTGAGTTTTAAATATTTCTATTCTTCCTGAGTGAAGTCAGGATGAAATGATTCATGACTTCCTTTGGCCTTTTAACCTCGATTCCTTCCAGAGTGTAGAAACATGGCTCCCAGCCGGACTGAAGAACAACGTTTTACGCTTTGTGTAGGAAGCCTTGTGAGGCCAAGGTGGTGGAAGGTATTTGTTGGGACTTAGAATATGATCAGAGAGGCGTGACAAGAACCAGATGTTGCTTTGACGTGTTGAAAGCAGAGCCACTGCTCTCCTGCTGTGTCAACGTGTTTTAAATGTGGACAACTTGGTCAAGGCGGCCACGTCAAACAGAGAGCTTATAACAAAATAAAATCTCACAGTTAGTTCAGTCATTCTTCTGGTGATTTTTTATGAAACGAATCCCAGATGTTTTTTTTCCTGAACACGGCGGTACTGAATCAGACTTTCCTTCTTGCTCACTTTGGAGAGATCACTTTGTGGGGTTTATAGTTGATAAAAACCCAACACTTCTCCTCTTGCTGGGATGTTTACACTAATGATACAAGCTGTCTCCGGCTTATTTATCACAGTGGCGTTGCCTTGGCAGCCTTTCATCCAGGTTTGTTTCCATCATTTCAGCTCAGCAAACTTCTGCCCAGATGTCGCTGCTCCCTCCCAGATCTCTAGTCTCATTGACGCAGTGATAAGGGTCAGGCCAGCGATACAGCAGGCGCCCAAGTGGACAACAGTGATTTCTCATCAGCGCTGTCAGCAGGACGCTGCGGAATGCTCCAAACAGCAGTTGCTGCTGTCTGCTTAATCAATGTGAGGCTGCTGGAGCAGATGAGTCCAAAGCAACCACAACCTCATGCCTTCACTCAGCGGCTTTAAACCGAAAGGTAAAGATGTTAGCAGGGTTAGAATAGTTTGGGGTTTTTTCATTACAATTTTGTTTTTTTTTTTGTTTTTATGTGACTTTTTGTTTGACTAATTCAGTTAGGTTTTATTGCTGGTTTTTAATACTTGTCTTGCTTAGTTTCAGTTTAGTTTTTATTAATTATAGCAGTTTAGTTTTTCCTACTTTGGTTAATTTATAGGTCCTGATTGCAGCAGCCAGCTGATGGTTCTTTTGTGCATTTCTCAAAAAAAAAAAAAAAAAAAAACACACCTGATATTCCGACTGTAGCACCCCTGTGCCGGAAGAGGCCCCAGAGGGGCCGATCCGAGGCTTCTTGTTGGGCGGGCCCTGGTCCTGCCCATGCTGCACGCCGCCTCCCCCGGCGGCCCCAGTGGCCCCTGCGGTGCCATTGGTCTGAGCCGAGCTTTGCTGGGAGGGGGCCTGCTGGGCTGCTGCCTGCTGCTGGGTCTGGACCTGGGTCTGGCCCGTCGTCTGCTGGTGCTGCTGGGTCTGGTTCTACAGCAAAGAGGTGAACATGAAAGAGGCCTCAGAAAACTGGACCGTGAGATATTCTGGTTCCTGACTCCAGGCGGACCTCCTTGTTTGCCTCTCTATTTTTATTCTTCTGTCCCGCACCTGCGACCCACTTCTTCCCTGAGATATTGATATGTTCTGTATGGAAAACCGTCGGAAATGTTTTCATTTGTGAATAATTTTGTTCCCACTGCAGAATGATGGCCTTGGAAATGTTTGGAAAATAATTTCTAATCTTTTCCAGATTGGAGGGCAGTAGTAGTTATTTCTCTGTGATCACAGATACAGAAGCACTGACATGAACATTTGGGTCAGTACTGATATCTAGTATGAATATTGCTGCTATGGTCTGTTTTTTTTTTAACCTAAATTAAATATATTATAAATATTTCACTACACTTTTGACACCTTGAAATAGAGAACCCAGACATGTTAGCCTCTAACATTCTTCTCCTTTCTTCCTCTGTTCTTATGATACATATTTAAAAAAGATATGATAAGTTATGTAATATGTATGGAACATGAACAACTTGGTGCAATCTCTGGATAAACAACAACAAAAAAACGACACACTTCCCCACTGCTTCAGTTAAACTCCCCAAATCCTTTGCTGCATCACTGCCACTATCACATGGCCAAACAAATACCACATGACCAACCTAAAGAAACAAACAAGATGGAGATAAACATCAGTTGTTTAAGATCGGCCCAGTTTTATTTGTCGGACCGATACGATATATTAAAAAATGACTAATATCAGATGATACAGATATTAGTGCTGATATAATCAGACACTTGATGTCTTCCTTCCTCTGCATTGTTACCACTTCTCTAACCTCCATTCCTTTTTTCCTTTATCAGTACATCAGATAGAAAATCCTTCTGATTCCATATCAGAAAAATGTTTCTTTAAACCAACAACCATCTTTGATGAGGGCTGCACCTTTTCAGCTGCTCGCAGCGCACCGACCTCCACCTCCTGCTGCGCTCTGTCACTGCATGGATGGTGCATTCCTGCCTTTGGCAAAGTCACAGCTGAACCCTTTCAGTGATATATTACACTATAAAAATAACCGAAAGGCAAAAGGACAGACTGCAGATTCTAACAGCCCGTTCTACTGTCACAGTGCGTAAGAAACCAAATCTGTGCTTTTTTACAGCAAGAATGTGGACATCTCCACACACATCTGGTACTTTGAAATACATGCATAAGGCTGTGAAGGAATAAAACTGCCAAAAGACTCCAAAGTCAAATTTTAAAGAAGCCACAATTATGTTGGACAAATCCATAAATTACTGATCTTTATTTCAGAGATGATTCTTTGGGAAATCTTGAGTTTATAACTTATCACAGACAGACTTTTTCTTTGTTGTTGTTTTTTCTTTTTTAAATCAACAGTATGACATTTTCTCAGTCTCAATGCAGGACGTTACAATATTACTGTGCTGAGATTGTGAACATTAAAAAAAAAAAAATTCAGAGAAGCATCATGTCTGCACTGCTGAAACACTGAATTCTATCAATCAAGGCTAGAACCTATTTGTTTAGAGCTGTTTTTAATGAATAATACCTTTAACAACTGGCTTTTCAAAGTGTGGGGTGTGTCCCCTCGGGTCACCAGAGCCCAACAACAGGACAAAAAATTAACAAAACAAATTTCAGCAAAATCTTTTATCCAACTTCACTAAGTCTAAAACCTGTTAATTCCTCCAGCCACCGGAGGCGCTGTTATAACCATTCTGTCTGTGCATGGCTGGAGTGAAGTCATTTGCCTTTTATGTCCCAGAACTGGATGAACACTTGACATGGTTTTACCAAACTGAGTGGTGAGCTGAATGCCCAAACAGATCGATATTTTGTCAAGTGTTGTTCATTTTTCCACTAGGATTTGTTTCTAGGTTTCCTCTATTTTAACACTTCCACTGTCGTTCGTTCGTGGAGTTTGTGTAAAAAAATATTTAAAATCTTGAAATGGGACTACTAATTATTCTTGGTTAATTAAGTTAAACTGCCTTTAGCCTATTTATTTATTTTTATGGTGTTTTTTGCATCTTTTGAAAACCTATTTTTTTTCGATGCAAGTCAGGTTTTTTGTTTTGCCTGTTCATTCACCAGAAGCCTTCATGGTGAATCTGAAGCAGGCGAATCCCACAACATCAGTGAAACATATCTGAATAGAACACGGAGAACAGGAACAGCACACAGTAGAAAATAAATTACCTTGTCTGTTTTCTCTTCAGGTTCATCTTCGTTAAGAAACTCTCGCTTTGGGTAGGGGATCTGACAGCCAGCAAACACACTGGAGAAAAACACATCAGATCCTCACATAAAGCATTTCTGCACCAGTGTACTGTGGCAAGACAGGATTAACAACAAGAAGACATGATGAAAGGGAAAGAAGAAACTTCCTCCCCACCACTACTTGAGGAAAAAGTTTTCTTAGGCTCACTCTGTGGTCGGTAAAGGCTCCTCCAGGAAGTAGGCGTCCTGCAGAGCCTGCTCCGACGTGATCCGTTTGGTGGGATCCATGGTGAGCAGTTTTTGGAGCTGGGGGGTAGAGAGCAGAAAGTGTTACATAAAATAAACAGTTTTAGACCCCACTGCCACTATTCTTTCATTGTTTATTTGATAGGGAAAAAGAAAAAAAAAAATAATAAATACAACTTAAAGTTATAAACACAGCCATGGTCCAAAGCGCTGTGAGCCAAAACCTCGCTGGCTCTGCTATGAAATGACTGAATTCAGGAGCAAACATTTCTGTAATGGAAGGATCCCTTTCATTGGTGCTATGATCTTTTAAATATTTTAAATGTCCAACATGGTGAAAATATGAGGCTGGGCAAATTCACATAGGAAAACTCATCATGGTCAAGAATATCATATTCAATTCAATTAAAAAATACTTTAATTTATCCTAAAGTGAAACTAAATGTTGTCCAGCTTTGCTAATGTGTCTCATTTACTTTTACCACTCCTCTTCAAATCTGTCTGGCCATTTGGTTAAAAAGCCTGGAATAGAGATGCAGGAGTCTGGAGATATAATTATTGCTCATTCTTTATTATGTGCTCCAGAAATTAGTATTAGTTTTTTGGGTTTTTTTTAAATGCTAATGCTTTACCTGATTTTTTTTCAGGAAAAAAGTGATTAAACAACCTTTTTAAAAAAAAAATATTTTAAAAGCAAGAGTTGAGTGAAAAATAAATACTTTGTTCTGAGGAGCAACTGCTCCTTCTGGGGCCTAAAGGACCATACAAGCAAGTGCTGTTTTAAAATTAGGCTATGGAAACAAATTAAAAACTAAATAATGTCAATGACAAGTCCTTGTGAAGACACAAAAATATATTAATGTGCGTGTGTGTGTTAGTTACCAGGAGGAAAACCTTGCTGTCGGGCTTCACTTTATGTTTCTCCATGTACTTGATGAGGCTGCTGTTTGCATACCTGTTAGGATGAAAACAAATGATGCCATATCTGGTACTTTAGAGCAGTGGTACCCAACCCCCGGATGGTGGACCAATTGGTACCGGGCTACGCAAGAAATAATTAAATATTTCTGTTTCATATATTATCTGAAACTGGAGGATCTTTTATTTTGAAAATCCTTTAACGGGATTCTCTCGGTTACGTCTTGCACGCCAACATTGAGCCACAAGCAGCAAAATGAGTCAGAAACAGCTCAGATGTTTTTGGAAAGTTTCTTTGTGAAGAGAAAAGGCCCAGAGAAGAAACAGGAGAATGGATTTATCCCGGTAGGTAAATCCCACGGTCCAAGCTGCTCTGCATGATATGGTGACCGGATGTTCATGAGGGAATGAACCTTCAAACTGTTTCTCCACGGAGAGACCAAGTAGCTCCCTGTGCATAAGCAACACTTCGGGTGTCACTGTTTGTTTTTGTGGTGCATCTTATTTTGAAGGGATATGTAAATGTTACCATAGCGACCAGATTCAGAGAGGGCAGTGGTCGAGATGGGATGAGAGGAGTGGAGCTGGTGAGTCTTAAGTTTGGTTCATGCGGCACAATCTAAAGAATGTCGCCTTATTCTCCAAACTTGTGTGATCACAGAGCCGATAAAAGTCCAACAGGTTCAGTCGGTTCCAGGAGCAACACACACAAACCGACTCCACTCACCAACATCCCGATTCCAGAAGAAAACCCAGTCAAACCACAACATACCAAACGTGAATTTAGAATAATTAAACACGGATGATGAGATCGAAGCAGTGGTGATAGTTTATGGACTCATTTCAAGAGATAAAAGACGTCAAAAGAAAACCCATAAAAGGATCAGCTGCTCTATTCACTGCACTAGGATTTGGAGGTGAGTTATTATGTTTTTTGTAATCAACAATTTTCACTGAATAAACATATATAATAATGACCTTTACATATTGTAATAAACATTTCCACATATCACCTTCAATATATACACTCACACACACATCTGTACATATTATACCACAAGATAATAAGATGCGTAACATGCCAGCTCCGACGTCGCCTGGCCAAACAAGGTCTGCGTCAGGTGGTGGGGAACCAGAGCACCTTGATGACAAATGCTACAACTCAAGTAACCCTAATCAGAGAGGTTACATGCAAAGGGGAAGGAATGGTTACTTCGACATCCCCAGTCAACACAATTACTGTCACTTGAGATTGCTAATTTAACTATAAGTCCCCACCCAGAGAGGGGATATGCAGCCCCGATGAATGAACCCGAATGACAACCAGACCTCCTCGGCGCCAATTACAACGATCAGAAAGTCTCATTGAGAACAATCCCTACCAACTCCAAAACAGGACAAAATCCGTGCGATAAACAGCTATGCCTTGCCAGTAATCAGATACCCTGCTGGAATAATTAGCTGGCCAAAGGAGGAGATAAAAGCTGCAGATATTAAGACTCGAAAACTACTAACCATGCATGGTGGGTTCCACCCCAAATCCATCACCCTGAGACTGTACATGAGCCGCAAGGAAGGAGGCAGAGGACTAGTGAGTGTGAGAACCACTGTCCAGGACGAAACATTCAAGATCCATAAATACATCAGGGACAAAGCCTCAACAGACAATGTGCTCAGTGAATGTCTCAGACAACAGGGAACGGAGGTTGAGGTGCCAGAGATACCATCATGGGAGGACAAGCCCCTACATGGGATGTACCACCAGCAAATAACCCAAGTGGCTGATATCAGTAAATCCTACCAATGGCTGGAAAAAGCTGGACTCAAGGACAGCACAGAGGCCCTCATCCTGGCCGCCCAGGAACAGGCCCTAAACACCAGAGCAATAGAGGCCCAGATCTACCACACCAGACAAGACCCAAGATGTAGGTTGTGCAAGGAGGCCCCTGAGACAGTCCAGCACATCACAGCAGGGTGCAAGATACTGGCAGGGAAAGCGTACATGGAGCGACATAACCAAGTGGCAGGCATAGTGTACAGAAACATCTGTGCAGAATATGGACTGGAAACCCCGAGATCAAAGTGGGAAACACCCCCAAAGGTGGTGGAGAACGCCAGAGCTAAGATCCTGTGGGACTTCCAGATCCAGACAGACAGAATGGTAATGGCGAACCAACCAGACATTGTCGTAGTGGATAAACAACAGAGGAAAGCCGTTGTGGTAGATGTAGCAATACCAAGTGATTGCAACATCAGGAAAAAGGAGCACGAGAAACTGGAGAAATACCAGGGCCTTAAGGAGGAACTTGAGGCCCTTCCAGAGGGCCTGGAAGGTGAAGACCACAGTGGTGCCTGTCTGCGGTAATAAAAAGGTTGGGAACCACTGCTTTAGATGATCGGACATCATCCTGAACTCAGAACCTCTTCGTCGAATTCAAATTCAAAAGCACTTTATTGATCCCAGAGGGAAATGACACAAAATGCTAATGAAATAAAGGTTCACTCACGTTGTCCTCCTGAAATCCTTCTGCAGTGTGGGATACTCTGGCATCTTTCTGATGTCCTCCCAGTCTTTATCTGCACACAGAACAAACATGTAGCAGTTTTAGCGCTAAAACTGGTCAAATTAGCAAATTCCTTCAACATTTGTGTCTGTGTATGTGTGTTGCCTTTTTAACACATAGCTTAAAGTGCACAATGAAAGCTAATGCAGCTAACTCAACAGCAATGTTTGTTTGAAGCTGTGGTTGTGTGTTGTGGATGCAGACCTGCAGGGAAACCCATCACACTGAATATCCTGTCCAGTTGGTCATGGTGGAAAGGGTTGCTGGTCTTGATGTCCTCCTGGCGACAGTGGAAGATGGGCTCCGACGTTAGCAGCTCCGCAAAGATGCAGCCAATTGCCCAAATGTCTGATGTAAACACGCACGCACACACACACCCACACAGTTTTTAATCCGTGTTCCTTTGATTACAACTTTGAATCAAGTAGATGAAGAAAGAAGATGAAAAGAATGAACAATTGAGCCCCTTTTATTTTTTACTGATCTCTACAATATAATGACAGTTAAATACAGATACGTAACAAATTAAGTGATTGCAGAAATATTCATCCCCTTCAAGTCAGTGGTTAATGGACGCCCCTTCAGTAGCACACCTGTTTATGCCCCAGAGTGACTCAACATAAACCATATAAAATGCTGTGATTCATCCCAGCTGTTCATGTCTCAGTGCTGGGAGGAATCTCACTCACCAATAGCTTTGGTGTAGTGCCGGGCCCCCAAGAGCAGTTCAGGAGCCCGGTACCAGAAGGTCACCACCACGGGGTCGAGGTCTGCCAGGGGCTTCAGCGGAGAGTTGAAGAGTCTGGCAAATCCCATGTCAGCTGTGTGGTGTTCACAGAAAAGACAAGACATGCTGAGCAAACAAAGGAATTATGTGACAGTGACATGAGTGAAGGATGCTGTGATTCTCACATGTGACATTCTTCTAAAGCCCTCTCGTGTGTCTGTTTCAGACACACTAATGAGACGGTAAAATGGTGCAGATGTCCAACATGACCTCTGCTTATCAGAAGAGCTTTGAAATTTAGAGACACTTCCTTAAAATGTTGTACAAAGAACCACTTAAGGAGATGCACTGACAACTTGTACATGTGAGGCATGGAGCAATAAGTAATAAATCAATTAATCACATGATAAATTGAGATTATTCAATAATTCCATTTGCACAATTTATTGTATTTCTCTTAACTTTTTTTCTCTTTGGACTCAACTAGCCTATCTGAGAGACAATTTGTTTACAGAGATTTCATAATTCATTTCATTTGCTCTTTCTGTTGTTTATTCATTTTGGATATTTAAAATGTCTTTCAGTTCCAATGTTAAATGTTCACTAGAATTGAAAGTTTCTGAGAATGCTTTCCTGCATCATCCTGCTATGGTCACTACATTAATTAAAAATAGTCTCAAAACAACAAAATTATCATTTTGTATGTTTTTGATGAAGGAATAGAATAAGATTATAACATAATCTAAAGTTCAATAAAGTTGATTTTAGATATTACTGCCCCTTTAAGGAGCAATACAAATCTCCAAAAATTGGCATTATGTCCAAAACAGTCTGATTGCTGAATCACTCATTTAAAAGAGAATTGTACAATTTGAGAAGGGCAAGCCAATTTGATCAGTTTCTTTTATCAACATAGCAAGCTGAAGGTATAAACTGAGGACAAAGTTATTCCCATTGCACTTCTCTTGACTTCTGATCGGGTCGCTCCTGCAGCTCAGCCGGGCTCGGTGTGTCTGGTGCAATCCTCCCTAGCAGTGGAGCTACAGAGAGTGGCTGCACTTCTATTAGTGGGAGGGTTTAAAAATAGATTCCAGTTCTGCAGCATTCCCCTCTAACAGTCTCTTGCCAGATGGCTTATGTCACACTGATCTGGGCTCCCGATTTAACCTCCCAAAGGAAGGGTTAAACACTGACAAACCTTACTGACCCGTTGCAATAATGATATCACATTCTCTGCATTCCATTTCAAACAGAAATATAAACACAAAAAACTGGTACCAATTTTAACTCTCCCTCGTTCCGGACCTTCTCCCATCACCAGGATGTTGGCTGGTTTCTGTACAAGACAAGGAGAGCACACTTTAAACACCACAGAGAAGGAGAACGCTGGTGCAGAAAGTAGGCTCAGACAAGATAAAGCAACCCTGGAGAAGAGAAGTTGTAGGGCCAAACAGAAGCTGCGCTCCCAACGCAAAACTTTGTTGATATTTGTTGAGAGTTGAAAAACAAAACACAATTTTGCAATTCCAGTTTTTCCATTAAACAAGAAACGCAATTAAAATCAAATGATAAGTCATTAAAAAACATTGTCCTCCTACCACTTCCTGTCAACTTTGTCGTTTCTGACAGTAGTGATATCCAGTTGTTGATAGGTGTTGATAGGTGACGTGAAAGAATTGTTTCAATTGCACTTTTGCAAAAAACATTCATTTTGATATGGCCAAATCAGCACATCATCCTATTCTTTTTATCTTAGCATTAAGAATAAGATGGGAAAGAAAAATCATGCTTAATTTAAGCTTTGCACACACATAACTGTGTCATTAAAAAAAACAAATATCTACGTCACATCGTTAAAAAATAATAACATGGTACACATGGGGTCGGTTTCAGAAGAGGTTTTATCTGCTTGAACCCACACTAACCATTTCACAGTGTTGTTTTAAACATGCCAAATCCTTAGGGAGCTGAAACCTGTCACCCAATCAGATCACTTCAAAACAATCACAACTTCCTGTTAGGAATTTGTGTGATGATTTTAAATAGCATATTGAAATATAAAGTTACCAAAACACAAAACGAATTTGATTGGGAATCATGTCAAAGCAAATTGCATTATATAATTTTATATATAATGGCAAATTATTTGTAACAGACTGTAAATCACAGGATTCTAAATCTCCACTTTCCCCACATGCATATACAAATCCAAAGTGGAGATTTCTCACAGTTATAAGTAACTGTTTTTAATTCTATTAAAAGAGGCCAAAATACATAAAATTGTGTATAAAGTATTTCTGTACTTTTAAGACTTGAAAAATTATTACATTTTGCTCAATGGCAATATAGGAAGAAAAAAAAATTCAGAACATCAACTATGAATGAATGAAAAGCAAATTGCTATTTTTAAGCCAATATACTAAAATGAATGATCATTTATGGCCGGAAGGAAGAATATTTTCTGTGCTTGTTAATAGAGTTCTTAACAGTAAATGTCTGAAGGTCTAATTTCACCATTCAACTCATAAGCAAAGTGAGTTCAGAGGTACCCAGTGGTCACAAAATGATCCAGTCTATATGTTTTAGATAACCACTGCTAAAGGAGGATGCGGTATCTGCATCTTTAACAGACATTATAGATCACTAGAATCCACTGAAACTCCCAGGGTGTCTGTACTTATATGAACCCACTGACTTCCCAGACACCGACCTGCCTGGCATACATGCTGTGTTGCTATAGAGACGGCACTAATAAGAAGGCCTATTATTCACGCCCACCACATGACCTGCTGCGATCAGAAAACACAAAGAGGAGCATCTCTGAAAAGAGCCGACAAGTTCAAGCTCATCTTTGGCGTTCCCCACGTTTTCTGTGATCTGTAAATGACCTGATGAGCCTCTTTAACTCACACAGAACGAAACAAATCAGATCATGTGAGCTGAACAAAACAGAACAATAAAACTAAGAACATCATTGGTCATGTACTGTATTTAAATTAAGTTAAAAACAAACAAATTAAAAAATTAACCAAAATAGACATTTTGTTTTGAACATATCCAGGGAGATTCATCATTTCCAGTTGGTCAGTTTTAGAAATGGATCAGGAGCTGAGGGAAACCCTTCTCTATCCCTGCAGGGACACAGAAACTCAATCCTTAAGGGACATGGCCTCTTTTCACAAACCTATCTACATCTTTGTCTTCACAAATATAGCCAGAAGCTCACTTAAACAACTGATAAATAGAAAGCACAAAAGTCTATTAAGCAAAAGTATCAAAAGTCATAGTAGTTTTCCCCTTCCTGCTTTGCATGAACACATTATTCTCAAATGGTCATTTTCAAGGGGGTTTGTTCCAGTTAGAACTTGGTTAATAGATTTTAGTGCCCTGCAGTTTTGTGTTATATCGAGGAGACAAGCTTGATTTTTACTTTTTCTTTCTTTAGCTATATTTAGTTTGCTCGTATCTCCTTTGTAAAACCCACCTTTTATTCCGCTCTATCTGATTGGACATAGAATGAAGAAAATTCTGTGTCCAATCAGATAGAGCATCACACCTGTCGGTTAGCAATGACATTCCCTCAGTGTTTAGCTTGTTTGATGGGAAGGGAGCAATGTTTCACTAACGATGTGATTTAATATTTGCCTCTGCTGTCTGTCTTCCGTTGGCATGGCATGTGAAGATACAGTAGTAGATGTGCTGCAGCATCATCTTTGTGGAAGCCAATCAAAGATTTTTTGGGGAAAAAATACTATGGCAATAACTTTGGAATATTGGGACGCCATATTTACTACATACATTTACCACTGCTTTTGATTCAAGTGCTACTTTGCCAATGCTGATTACTTAACCTCAAAATACACTGTGCAGATTCTCTGTCTGCATCGACGAAGATTCACTTGACTTGGAATGACAAAAGCTTGGGTTGGCTTCAACTGAACGCAGTCTGGCTTATTTTTGGAATTATTTAACAAACATTTTTTTCTGAATACTAACAGGCTAAGCCCAGATTGGACATAGATTGGACTTATTATTGGACTCTAGTATTATCTTAGACTCACAGATTATTGTGAAGCATGGAGGAAGAAAATAGATAACCGTATTCTGACACAGTAGCATGCTGTACATTTTATATTTTAGATGTTTGAACTCACTTGGCAAAAAAAAAGAGTTTTGCCAGGTTATCATTAGGACCTGACTGTGCCTTTTTTTTTTTTTTTTTTTTAAATGTGAGCAGTGTAAGCAGAGAAATCCAGACACCCTGTCCCCAGCTGCTTTGATCTGCTCCTCTGGTGGAATCTCAAAGGGTTCGCAGGCAGCCAAGAAACATAGTCCCTCCAGGGTGTCCTGGGTTTTCCTGTGAGACTCCCACTGTCTTCTCACCTTAACTCTGAGGAACATCCCAGACTCCCTGCAGAGAAGGCTCATTTTGGTTGCTTGTGTCTGCAGTTTCATTCCATCATTACCCAACACTCATGACTATAGAAGTGTAGGAACGTAGATCAAACAGTAAATTAAGAACTTTGCCTTTTCCTCAGCTTTCTCACCACCACAACAGACCGGTAGAGCGTCCACATCACTACAGATGCCCCACCAATCCAACTGTATGTTTACCACTCCATTGTTTCCCTATTAGTGAACAAGACTCCAAGATACTGAAAGTCCTCCACTTGAAGCAAGACCGCTACCAGACGCAGAGATTATTTAAACCATAAAAGTCAGGTGCAATAAGTCCCTGTAGCCAACTCTAGAACCCTTCTAGGCCAAGGATCCTTGAGTCCAGGCCTCAAAGGCCTGTGTCTTGTGTCAAACAATCAGGTTCCAAGTAGGACTCTGGAGAACTTTGCTGCATACTGAGGAGGTAATTCAGCCATTTAATTGAAGCGCATTGAACCAATGACACATCTAAAAGTTGCAGAACACTGGCCCTACAGGCCTGGATTTGAAGGTCCCTGGCTTAGGTTATATCAGGCTGATACCTTTTGTGGTCACACTCTGTTCAATGTGAAAAAACAAGGCAGTAAAAGAAAAAAAGAGAAATATGTAAACCACCAAACCTTATATTTGGACTTCACAACTGTAAGCTGACCAACTGGATATGCAGCTGGTAGCACATGTATTTCTGTCCAGAGTCAGAAATACAGACAACAGCTGGTAATCAGCTGTTGTCCATAACATCTGTTTTGTTGCCAGATGTTATGGTGCCCTCTGTAATGACATTGCTAAGGTTATCAAGTTTAAAATGAAATGAAAACTATGATTGTGATTTTACTCCCAAAAAAATTAGAATATTTTAAGTTATAGATGGGTTACTATATCGGTCTAAAATTGACCATTTCACAGATGCATCATTTTTCAGTGACACTCTTTCTTACTCCAGTCATCCAGTGAGCTATGACGGTTTGTAAAGCAAAGGACCTTAAGCTGGGTCACCTGCTAAGTCAATGTGGAGAAGTTGGCTCCGCATGGCCTGGATGCACTTGCATAACCCCTGCGCCACACCAAACAGCTGGTGGGGGCAAGGAAGGAGGCAGTGGGGGGACAAACAAATAGGGGGATGGGCACTATGCAGCAGCGCACTGCAGAACACATGCCTGTTTCCAGACAGACAGAGAGAACTACACAGCAGCACAGGCTGAAGCTTATGTAATAGCTAAAGTACTGCAGCCGTGAAGGAAGCTGCAGTACTTCATGGTGCTCCATGGTAGGAGCACTGCTCCCCATGGAGACACAGAGAGCTGGAGATTATACAGCTGCAGTGTCGCTGCTATCCTCTAACTTCTCAGAGGATTTCTGATATGGGCCTTGAGGTTGTTTTCTACCAGGTGTCAACAGCCACTCACTTTTCGTTCCTTGTTGCTCACACTCAGAGAAAACTAAACAAAAGGCGAGCACCTGCAAGACGCATGATAGTCTGGTCTACAATGAGAGCTAAAGAATTACACAAATCAGAGCTTGAACCTGCTACAATGGCAGGAAGCCCTGGCAATGAAACAGTACAACAACAGGACTAAGGGCAATGCATCACAGTTTTATCTGGATGTACAGAAAATAGTTGTGGAAGGATGGAAGTGTTTGTGCACCGATAAGACCAGTGTGACCTCCAGAGAGCAAAACAACCACAATGCTGCTGTGGGAAAAATCAGACCCAAGGAGGTTTCACTTTTATCCCTTCAGAGTGAGCTTCTGTTCAATCTATGGTACAGTGTAAATTATTGTATATAATCCAGGTAAAATATGAGTGTTTTTCCACAGCAGTGAAGTGTTAGAATAGCGCTGCAGCACAGTTTTCATTTGTGGCTCATATTTCCCACTGCAGCTCGTTGCGTTTCATGT